TTTCACTGTACAATAACTATATTAAGCATTAAAACTTTCTTTTCCTGCAAACACAAGGAATTCCAATGGAAAGTTCATATTCCACTTATATTTGTAACCTATTTGTATTTACTAAAGAATTTTAATTCCTTAAGGTAACCGACCTCGTTCGAAGGGCGTTTTCAAAATGTTTGTTGTATTTTTGAATTTAAGTGATTTTTCAAGTAATTGTACTCAAACTTAAATGTAATCACTGCAAATGCGATAAAAACATCATTATTTTGAGAAATGTACGCAAAAAACTGAAAATTTTACATCAAAATTAATAAAAATATCAACCATCACTGATAGGAAAATATTGTTGATAAAATTCCATTTTCTGCTTTATTTTATACATACTACTTAGAAACATGCATTGAACCAGAATAATTTGAAAATGTTGATTAACTAGCAAAATATGGTCAAATATGTCAGTAAACACTAAATTTAAAAAAAAAAAAATACACATGCTATTGAAGAAAAAATTATGTAACTTCTAGTCTACATTATGCATAATAATGTATAAATAATAATAATGCATAATAATATAATATGTCCATTAATCCTGGGGATAATGGAACAAATATGAAAGCGATCTGAATTTTGTAGAAATAATTCCTCTCAAAATTTCAAGTGATTCTATAATGAACGTTTAGAGTTATCATGATTGCCGTGTTAAAGTTCTCAGGTTGATACATGACATTATATACACAAATATTCACTAAAAATGCTCCTGCATTATACGTGACAAAGTGAGAGTATAATATTTAAAAGAATGAAAACCTCAACATTATGATTGCCTGATATGAATTTGAATTCATCAAAATCACTTTTTTCATTTGCAATAAATGTTCCAGATAATTTCATAGACAGATATTTCAGTTTCATTGTGATTACCAGCATCAGCAGTCACATATTTTGTGTATTAGTCGCTGTAAAATTTTCGCTTTTTTGAATGGCTACGTATAAATTTTGGCATTCTCGAACTTTCAATTATTAAACAGAATAAAAAAAGTGTAGAAAAATGAATCTTTAGCTGATAAATTAGCGCAGGAAATTTGTACAGAAAACCGAAATACCGAAAGCTCAATGTAAACAAAACAATAAGTTTGAAACGTTGTTGCCAAACGTAAAAGAGAAAATACATACTGAAAATACTTTGCCAAATTCTCCAAACATATCGAAAGGCTTAAAATTATTCAATTTATCAATAACACAGAAAAAAGTGGAAGTTGCACCTTTAATTTGTCCTTTAAACTTTAACTTCCGGTGTGACAGACAATTACTTCCAGTCTGTTGTATCTCAGAAAACGGATATATCTCCACTTTTAATCAACATATCAAGAAGAGAAAAGCTGTTTTCTATAGCTAAGAATATGACCTTACAAAACATTAAATTTTTAAAAAAATTAGTTTTTCAGTAGAAATCGGCCTTTTGAACGAGGTCGGTTACCTTAAAAGCCTTTCTGATAACGATTTCAGTAAATTTGAACACACTTATAGATACATTGATGATATTATTACTTTCAGCAGGTTTAATCGCTTCGAAAACAGCAACATCAACCCAAATTGTCTAAAAATAATTAAAACCAATAAAAACCAAACAGAAATAGTTTATCTTGATCTTAGTATTGATAAACTAAAGAAAATTAAACTTTTTCATAAAAGAAACGATTGTAATTTTTCTACTAATAAACTGATTAATTGGAATTCAAACATATGTAAAAAAAAAAAAAAAAAAATTATTGCAAATACTATTTTTAACCAAATTAGTAGAATTAAAAAAGTTTACACTGAAATAGAAACACAAAAAGAAGAAATTCTAATTCTCATCAATATTTTAAAAGATAATGAATTTCCTTTACAATTCATTAATAGTATGTTAAAAATATCTGGAGTGGTCTACACCCTGTAATACTTTTTAAAAGTATGAATTTTTTATCTGAAAACTCCAAAAGAGAAGGATGTTTTAAAGGATATATAGGTTTTCTTTTCTTTCTTTTTTTTTTTTTTTTTTTTTTTTTTTTCTTTCTTTTCTTTTTAAATTACTATTCTGTTACTAACATGGCCTTATATATTTTCAAAGTCGTCATGAAAAGCCCATGACGTGAAGACTTTTATTTTTCTAACATAGTTCCTTTATTTCCTTTTTTCAACTCTTTCTGTAATTTTAAAGTACAAAATTTAAAAACTAAAATTCAGCTTTATAGATATCTTACTCATATCTACTAAACAATTATTTTAAACTATTTGATCACTTTTTGGACAATTTTTTTGAGTTTCTTTTAAAGATTAATCGATTTTAAAATTTAATTAAAGTTTTACACTAAATAATATTATTTATTCCCTTTTTGTTTTACAAGAATAAGATTTTACTTAAATTTCATTCAATTAATGTGCAATCTTTTTCTATGACTAAAAATAACTAAAAAAAATTTCCTTGAAATTTTAAAAGTTTTTCTTTTGGTTTTAAAATTACATTTTACGTACAAGATTTTAGCCCTTTCAGCGATTACTTTCTAGCCAAGTTTTTTAGTTTCGCCAATGAAGCCAAGATGGCAAACCTGTGCGTACATTTCTGTTTCGACTGCCATGTTTAGAATGGAGTCTAATGAGAGTGATGGAAGCTCTTAGTTACTTTTTGTGTGTTTTAAATGGGTTTTTTCAACTACACCTGAATTCATTGGATTATCTGTTTCAAGGTAAACATTTTGATTTAAAATTTTTCACTGAAGTATTATGATTTTTCACTTTCGTTTTCAATTTTTAAAACTAAAAAGAATTCTCTTTTTTAAGATTTTGCTAATTTTCTAATTAGAGTTTACTTTGCTTTTTCCATGCTTTGGGGAAGTCCAGAATTTTCGGGTGAACTATTATAATTATAATTAAAATACATTGAAATGGTTCATCGGCTAATTCTGGATACAGAAAAGCAATGAATTTTAGAAGAGAGATTTCAATTAATTTCAAAGTTCCTCCCCCCTGATGAAGTTACATTGAGGTTGATTGAATTCCTCTTCTGTTTTTGTTCATTTTTAATTAAATTTCAAAAATTTTTTGAAGTGGGATTTTGCTTGCTTGAAATATTTGTTTTTAATATTTTAAAATTCTTTGTTGCATTTATATGATTATTTAAAATTTATTAATTATGAATTTCAATTTCTGGGCTTGTGAAATATTAATTCTAAATTTCTTACTTTATGTCTTTAATGATAATTTCTCTGCAGCTTAATGCGCGAAAATACTAGGCATATTTGTGTTCTGTTTTCAAAAGAATTGTTTTGTAATTATATATATATACACATAACAGTATCACAAATGTTAGAGACTCATTTGAATCTGATCTACCTCCTCTTGATAACATTGAAAAAGATTTTGATCGCATTCCTCTTCCTAGTTATTAAGTATTTTGTGTGTTTCACATATTTGTAATTTTCGGGAATTATTCTAGTCTGGAGACAATTGGTTGATAATTTTTTACATATTTATTTGGAATGTTGGATTTTATTTGTACTGTATTTCATTTCTTTCGTGTCTCTGTGAATTACTTTGCTTACTTATATATGTGTGTGTGTGTGCATATCTATGTATGTATGTACAGTGGCGTAAATAAGGGTATGCAAGGAATGCTATCGCATAGGGGCCCGAAGGCCTAGGGGGCCTTTAGTGTCCTACTGAACTACATTTACTTGTTTAAACTTAAAAGACGAATTCTATTACATATATAGAGAGAGAAGCTTTAATTCATTTTCCCCTAATGAGTTCGGTATTGGAGTTTCAATAAAAGAAGATTAATTATTATTTTTATATTTTTTTCTCTTTTGCTTTTCATTTTTATTTTTAGAATTTGTGCTACTATGAATTCTTATTTTAATTTTGATATGTTTGAATTTTTGTGTTAAACCCCATTTAGACGATTGTTAATATTAATATATATGAGGAATAGCCTTGCTTTGAATCCGATTTACTTTTAACTTTAGAATCTTTAAGTATTTGTAGATAATAGAATTCGATTTCTTTTAAGTTTTTAAGGGCCCCCTACCTATATGGTGCAGTGACGCAATTCACTATATGGCTCAAATAGGAGGACCTTGGAAGCACATTAAACAGCTAAATTTAGTGTTTGCAAAAGTTAATATTCCATCATTCGACTATGAATTAGTAACTTCATGACCTACCCCAGTTTAGGGATAGCAGTCAGAAGAAAATAGGAAAAGTTCCTTTGTATTCCTTTAGTCTCTAACCTGAAAATTATTGATTAAAGGTGACCTCCTAAAGGAAAGGCTCATCCTTTTGTAGTCCCAAATCAAAAAGGGGTGGAAGTGGAAATTAATTGTAACTATTTATTATAACGTACTTATTTTATATATTAATTTGTTTCTGTATAATTCGCATTATGATCGAATAATCAATAGACGTATTTTCTAAGTATAAATCAAAGAGGTAAACTAGGCAGAATTCTGGTACTTAATTTGGAATGAACTTTGCAAGTTAAGAGGAATCGTGGTATATTATTTGCAGTTCACAATTTTCATAATATGTTATTCCGTAGCTTTTAAATTTGTTCATATATTGAATATCTTACTAGCTTTCCATTAATCCCAAGCCTAAAAATCAGTCCTAATATTCAACTTGAAATTGAATTTATTAATGTGAATGATTCTTACAATTCAATATAACATGTATTGCGTTGGTTCGCTATAAACGGCGTATCACTTTTCAAATTGTTGCCATCAAATCATTTCACCCTGTATGATTTTAAAAAATAATAAGGGAATTGATGTTAACGTAAATTCTCACATTAAAAACGGACTTGTCCTGTGCAAAGCAGTTAACAGAAAAATCTTAAAAACTTTAATACAAGGCAAAAAGGCGAATTCCCAACTGGGGGGGAATCGAGATAGCTAGAATTGGTTTTTAAGGTGGTCTACTACAGCAGCATTACAATACTAAAAAATTTGTTTACACGCAGAATCGCTAATTAAGAAACTATGTTGCGTGAAATTTGGCAGAAATATAAAGCAATAGGTCAGTTTTCGAATCACAATGTTAGAATCAGGTTTGGAATGAAATTTACTTAAATATTATATTTTAAAAAAATTAGTTTGAAATACGTAATTTTAATGTGTAGTTTGGAAAGCCATCAATAGATGGCGCTACGAGTTAAAATTTAGCATTGTAATCTTATTTCTGCAAAAATTCACGAAGTAATTGATTTTGATATCAGTTATAAATCATATTTTTTTCTAAATAATATTTAGAAGCGTTTCATATATTCCTTTATACACAGTTTTCACTAAACAGTGTCAGCTGTCAGCGGAATGACGTTTACGGCAACCCTATTGCATTGCTATTCCGCACTCGTTTTGTTTACATTTATTTGTACTGTGGTCAGTTAGCAAAAAATATGCGAAAATATCAAGGACGACCGAAAAAACATCCTGGTTTTAATAAAAGATCCAGAATTCAGCGAAACGTCGAGCTCAAGAAAAAAATATGAAATTAAATTCCCGAGATGTGGAAGATTCCGAACAAGCGGATGTTTTCGAAAGGTGAGAAATAATTTATTCTTTATATCGACTACCTCGTGTTTATGATTTCGTAGTAAGTTAATTCCGAAGTAAAATATGCGTATTTTTTTTTATTGAAGGTCAGAAATTATTGATACAACTGCATCTGTGTCAAAGAAGAATCATTGCCCGGATGATTTTTTTTACAAAGTAAGGTTTTTTTTTTTTTTTTTTTTTGTATGTGTATGTTTGTGTGTGTGTATGAGGGGATGCTAATAATTGTTCAATTCTGTTATAACAATTTATTCCTCCATTCACACTAAATTGTTGGGAAATATTGAAAGGGTAAATTCCAATTCACAAGGAATTGCTGAAATAATTGAATCTTTTCAAAAGTATGAGCATGTTCTTGCGATCTAAATTGAATTCACCATCATTACATTCTATTATTGGAAATTTTATAGTCATATGTTTGCTACGAAATGCTTTGTCAGTTACCTATGGTATTTTTACAGGTGTATGCACATTTCATTCATGTGCTCGCTGTTCAACTTGCTTTTTTTTATTATGTCATTTACTTGGATGTTAAAACTTTCTTTTAGCGTTGGAACATTTTATGATCATTTAGTAAAATTTATATATAAATATATATTATTGCTTGTTTATTTATGGTTCTGTGTATTTGTCATGTATGCATGTTGTGAAGTGTAGTTTTTGAAAAATATGTCACAAATGGTAAATTCCACCAAAAGCTGAATTGAATTGATATTGGGATGCAGGTAATTAGAAAATATCTGCCGTGTATTTTGAGCGTAAACCATACTAGTGCCAAGAATGGGACCAATACGCTCAGGCTTGCTTAGCCTTTTTGCCATTGTCCAAATTGAATTATCTCTAGTAGAAAAGGAGTGAATGCTTTCTCTGTATAACAATAAAATATCTGTCTGATCAAAAATCTACCAATAAGAAACTTTTCATATGTTATGTGACAGACTTTCTGCAAACAGAAGTCCTCAGCTCTGTTCTTGTACATGTTTTTTAATTGTGGTTCAGATGTGTACTTCTCAAAGGAATTCTTCTCATAGGAAGATTGTCTGAACATTTAAAAACTATATTCTGCTTTTAGGGGCCTAATATTTTAGGCCCCTAAAATTAATATTGAAATTTCTAAAATGTTGAAAAATATGTCATCTGGATTCTGTGCAAAAAAATATAATCCCTTTTTCATTTCTGCATTTGCAATTCCTGCATTTTCTTTATTCCTACATTTTTTAATTGGAAGGAATTTCATTCGCAGAGCCCTCTAATTTATTCTTACAAATCATGTAGTAATGTACCATTTTAGATAGATATAAATAACACATTTTGTAATTTTTCTAAACTGTGGTTATACACAGCATGATATAATAGCTACACAAGGTATGGCGAAACAGTATACAGCAATATCTGTCGCACTGTCTGAGATGGGTGGTAGTCATACATAGCTTAATGCTTAAATTTGTTATGTGTTATTATTTATTCATTTTTTTTTTTTTTTTTTTTTTTTTTTTTTTTTAATTATGTTATAGCAGTTTATTTCTTTCATTCTTAGGTCTGGAAGTGAAAAATTTGACTTTTCTACACCAGAAGTTACAGCTAATGTTCCTAAGACAAACCAGGCTTTCTTGAGGTAAGTTGGTTTATTTCTAAAATAGATATTAGCTGTGCATGATATTGAAACTCTTACAGTTACTTAATTATGGTTAACTAATTATGTATTAATTTAGAAGTCAAGCAACCAAAATCAGCATTATATTTTCAAATAGTGAATATTTCAAAATATGATGCTGATTTTTGTTGCTTGACTTCTAAATTAATACTTGGTCGGCGTGTTATTGTATCTTAATTAAACTAATTATGGTTCTTTTCTTCTCAGTTCTGATCTGGACATTTCAGTTATTGACTCTGACGTAGAAGGTAGAAATACAAGCTCTCTTTTGGGGTAAATATGTGTATTTCTCTATGCCAAAATTAAAATGTCATCATTTATGTTTTTCTTTTATGGTGTTACATTATGTTGTTTACATACTGATAGCTATTAAAACTGTTAAATATAATATTGTAGCTATCAAAAAGAGGGGGATGAATTTGATTTGTACCAAATTTGGACGTTTTGCATGAAAGAACTTGAAAATAAAAGATTTTTTTTAAAATATATTCATTGAAATCAGTGAAATTTTCAGACGGGACACTGAAGCAAATGAAAATATTTTGGGGTTCGATTCTTTTGATGGGAGCCTCATCAATAAGCCTACTATCTTTTTTAAATATTGCTTCTTTTTCATTGTTTTCATGATGTTTTATGTTCCCTTCATGAAAGAGATTTTTAATAATTTAAATTTTGTTAATTAATAAAATATAACAAAATGAAATCTGTGATTATGTGGCTATTATTTTTTCCATATATATTTATTTGAGGAAAGCCAAAAATTTTATTATTTTACAGAATTTTTAAGAAAAATATAAGGATAAAATTTTTTAAATAATTCTGATTACTACCTTTGCTTTCCTCTCGTAATGTGCCTCAAGTTAGAGCAATTAGACAACAAATTTAAGTCATGTGATCTTTTTTTCCCCAAGTTTTTTTTTAGGCTTAGGAGTATAAATTGCTTATCCCCACAAGACATTGCATCTTCTTAGTATGCCATCCTAAGGCTCTTCAGATGATGGTATAAATGTCATAGACGCATAATCATAAGGCATAAAATGTGGGAGTTCCATTCACACCTGCGAGAGAGGGTCTAAGCCATAGCCAATTAGAGAAGCTAAATTTGTGCATGCATGTATGTGTCTACAGCTTTCTCTCTCAATAAGGTTTCATGTATATGCTCTGATTGGCCGACTCTTATATCAAGTCGGCACAAAGTTGAAAACTTCAAGCTTAATGCCCAAACTAGTTTTTGTGACATAGCAAGGTCTGACTACGAAGCGTTGTTAGTTGGGAATTATGACATTTATACAACGGCACAGACGCATATGCGCAGTCGTAAAGGTCTTGAGCGCACGCGTGAACGCCTATGCGCATGCGTCAACGCGGTGCATGCGCAGAAAGATTTTAGCTTTGAGGTCTGGATTATAGATCATTCCGGATTATGGGTGTCCGAATTAACGACTTTTGACTGTATTTATCTTTTATAAGTCTCTTGTTTATTTTTTTGTTTACTGCATTTCTTCTGAATAACAATTGTATATTTGAGTTTTCTGGGTGTGAATAAGTATTTTTGTTTAGCTTTATTGTATCAGTACAAATATTGTATTTTGAAATCTCTGTATTTGAATTTGTAGAATTTTTGTTATAAACTACATATATTTTGTAAATATTGTTTAATAATAAAGAGTTTGGTGAGGTGAATAAACATATGAAGGCAGAATTATTCCAAATTAATCTGGCCAACATTAATTATTGAAAATTCTAACTTGAATTTGCCGTTTAGCCATTTGGCTTCTCAGTGACATCTCTGAAGACCTTTCTTTCCATTTATTGCTGTAAACTGCGCTTGCAGTGAAGTATTGTGGTTTTACTCCTATGTAACATGAATGCCAGCCATTTCTGTGAGGAAGATCTCAAAATCACTACTTCTGTTGAAAGACTGGAGTATAAAGGGTCTAACTTATTCTTATGTTGTGGTACTATGGTATAAATCAAGTGTGATGTGTATATTAGTTTTCTCTTAGGATATCCTCTGTGAAGATACTGCTTCTGCAAAAAAGGTAATTCTACTAACCTTTTCAATTATCCATCTGCTGTTTCAGATTGAAACCAATTTCCTGCATCTGATTGATGTTTTTTGATTTATTTCTCATGCAATTCTGATCTGACATCATCTTCTAAATATTAGTAGATATATATCTGCATTAGTGATAATCAGCTGTGAGCACATAGTGCACCATCTGCAACTCATTTGGGTATAAACTATGCTAGTGATTATAATGTCCTTGCTTTTTCCCATATGCCATATGTTGCATGAAATTTTGTTATATGAATCTAGCTATCCCTGAGGAATTTCTGTGATCTTTCTAGTATGTATGGTCAAAAATTAGGCTTGTGATATACTGTCATGATTTTGCCCACATGTTCCCTGAATATACTACCATTTCCTTAGGAAGACTTCCAAGAAGAATACTGTTGTGAGTTCTAAGCCTAACTATGGTTTGGAACTATGTTTATAATGAATTATTGGGATTCTGCACATGTAATGTGGATGCAATTCTATTTCCATTTAGAAGATTTTCTGCAAAGGCAATGCTTTAGCTGTGAGATAATTCTGTTTTGGAAATAAAACTGATATTTATTTAGATCTGTGGTATTTATAAGGCAGTTTATCAATAGCAGGTAGCATCTTGCCTCTTTGCTTTGATCAGGGCCTGTGCAACCAGTGGTAGTCAAAATTTTTAGAATTTAGATAATAGTGCATAGCAAAATTTTATAATTTAGCAGAGGGCACTGAGCAGCAGAATTTAGAGGCAAAAAAATGTTCAGAACTTACGAAGACATCAGCCAGCAGAATTTAGGATATGCAGAGATTGCACTGAGTGGCAATAGTGCCATATGTTACATTTGCTATCTGCATTATTAATTTGTGAAACAATTTCAGCTGTTTGAAAATGCATTTTTCTGTTAGAAATTTGTATTTCTTGTAATTTCTCTTTTTTTTTGGGGGGGGGTATGTGATGTACTCTGTTTTCGAGAATATGGTGTTAAAAATATTTTATCTTTTTTTTTTTTTTTTTTTTTTTTTTTCAGGTGTAAATTTTGTGCATGATTTGGCTTTCATTGAGACGTCTCTGGGTAAGGAGTTACTAAGGAAGAGAAACTTACATGCAGGTTGAAGCATGCAGTGTCAAATGTATAAGGAATATAAAAGATGTGCTGTATATTAGTATAAGTTTGAATAACCATAATAAAAAAATTTCTTGAAAATTGTGTTTTTTTCTGCGAGTTATTAAAATTGGAAATAATTAATTACAATATTTATGAAAATTTTCGAAAATAAAAATACAAGTAGTATTTAAAAAGTACTGCAAAACTCATTTTTAAGTAGAAAAATTATTCTCAGATGAAATCCTTTCGATTATGCAAAGGGACTATTTTAGTATTTGAAAGGTTCATTTGAACTCAACAACTGAAACTAACGTATCCCCAGTTCATTGATACCAACCATTTTGTTGGTATCAATGAATTTCTGACCCACTACTTTCTAAAAGCATTTCTGTCAATTACTAAGGGCTAATTCTAAAAGCATTTCTGTCAATTACTAAGGGCTAATGAACAGGTGTTGAATTCTCAAGATGAATGTTGCCGAAACAGAAAAAAGTTGTACTTCAGAACATTTTGCAGTAGCTCAAACAAAGTCACGGACCTGATCTATACTGTAGTCAGGGAGAAATTATTCCCCTTCCTTTTCTTTCAAAAGCTGAGTTTCCACAACGCACAACGGGAGGCCGTTGCTAAAAGCTGTGGAACCAGTTTTATAGCTATTTTTAGCAACTTGTGAGCTGTTTTTCAGATAACACAGTAAATCTCGGGGAGGGGGATTTGAAATCATGATCACTGCCGGTACGGCAGAATTTAGGTACAGCAAAATTGTAAAATTCAGCGAAGCATCAAGCAATAAAATTTTAGAATTTTGGGGGAAGGGCACTTGACAACAGAATTTATTGCATACAAAGTCAGCAAAATGCATAGCGCCGTACCTGATTCATGATACAGCAGTATTCATTACCAATAGCAAACTTGTTTGAGGATAAGTTCGAAAAAATGTTTTCTAGTTGTTACCTAAAATCGGTAAACAATAATCTTTGAAAGATTATTCGATTATATCGCTACTAATACGGTAAAAATTTGAATAGCAATCAGAAGCCGTATCTCTAGGGTCTTCACGTCACGATTTATTTTTATTTGTTCGAATATGATATTTAGATCTCTCTTCCTACAAGTATGTATCTTCGTACGTATAAAGTATCAAAAATAATAAAAGTAATTAATAAATTTTCTCTAGTTGCCCTGAAAACTACATCTGAATATAAAGATAAGAAAGACATCAGTAAATTGCTGTTATTTGCTGATCATAATGGTAATCAACCGAACGTGATCACATATACCGTCTTCAAAACTTTGATTTTTATCAAGCTTCATATAAATACTAGGTTTTTGTTAGTCACGTAACTAGGCATCTTAAATTTAAGATGACAGATGAAATAACACTAGTTCTGAATTAGCTCACTCAGGAAGTAAAATTTTCTCCTTCCCGTCAATATAGCGTATTTATAGCTTCCAATTATGGCGATCACTAACTAAATATGTTATGGATTAGAAGCCTATTGCACTCCATAAGTTTTTCTTTATTTGCTTTATGTGCATGCATGCTTGGTTGAGGAAGAAATTAAAAAGCCCTTTTTTTTTTTTTTTTTTACTTAGATTATTCGAATGTATACGCAAGACATTTATTTGTTGAGCTGTAATTATAATTTGGAACGTGGTGCTAGAGCCGGTGGAGCCGAACCGAATGCCAGTTTGTTTAGAGTTATAGAGTTTGATTACGCCAAAGCAGGTGAATTTGGAAACACCAAAATCGGTCATGCATCCAACTCGTTCATCGAGGCTTGAACTCCGGATGAACTACCAGTGTTCGGCGGCTCGCTTGCTAGAATTTAGGGAGGAACTGATTGTTAGAATTGCGTTAGGCTCTTTGAATGTAGCAAAGCCACGAGGGTTACCTTCTTAAGATGGCAGGCTTTCGTGGAGGAATTTTCTGAAGGCTTAGATTAGGTTATTATGGCAAAGCACAGTAGGATGCCTTCATGTTGAACTTTCTTAGAGAAATTGGCTCCCCATACACGTTACACATGGAGAAAATTATGAAAACGTCCTATGCAGCCGGCCCGTTAACCTTGATTCGAATCCAGGTCGGAACTACCAGTGTTCAGCGATTTAATTCCTCTACCGCGGGAGGGCCTAATTGTTGAAGGGAACTGGCTTGTATTCATGTTACACACGGTGAAAACAAACAATGCAACCAGCTGATTCGTCTGGCATCGAACACAAACCAGTTCGAACTTCCAGTATTCAGTAGTCTTAACCACTCGGCCACTGGTGGCGTGTGGTAGGAGCCACAGATAATGTAGTGAGTAGCAAAAATCCCTAATAGTGGCCCTGGTTACTAGTAGGATTGTAAGTATATTGGTAATCATGCAATCTACAGCAAGGAAATTTCGGAGCTTAATTGCAAAGTCAAATGCGACACTCCGATAAACGTGGTATATGTAGAGATGGAAAAATTTATTATTTAAAATACTTGTATTTATTAGTAAACATTTTATAAAATTTATTCTTAATTTAGCGTTTAAGAATTCTAAGAGAGTTATCTGAGTATTTTTTTCTTCCTCTGGTAATCCAATAAAATTGAGTAAATTTATGTTCTGTAATATCTTTGCGTGTTATATACATAGTTTTTTTTTTTTTTTTTTTTTTCGTTCAAAGTTAGACAAGTTTACACAAACAATACAGGTCGAAAAGGGAGCTGCTCTGCGCCCGGTGAGCCTGTCGCCAGCGTCGCAAAGCGTAATTTGACTAATGAAAAGATAATGCTTTGGATCTGGTGAGATTGCCGTGGTATTATCCATAAAAATGGTTGGTGTTGGTGTATTTAATTATGGCAAAGCACACTAGGGCTATCTGCCTAAGGGGAGGGATGCCTTCGTGGAGGACTTTCTAAGGGAAACTGGCTCGTATACACGTTACACATGGGGAAAACCACGAAAACGCCCATGCAGCCAGCCCGTTCGCGGGATTCGAACCTCGGACCGAACTACCAGTGTTCAGCGACTTTACCGCTCGTGGGCCCCATAAAAATGAATCTCTCCATTAGTCGCACTATGCATCACATAAACGTCAGCTGTGCGCCGCATGAGCTGACTCAAGCAGATAAGGTCAGACGTGTTCGAGCCTGTACTATTCTTCTCGAATATCAACGCAAAGTTAAAGTTCTGGACCAGATAGTCACTTGTGTTGAAAAATAAATTTATTTTAACAACATAGGCCAAAAATTTAGTTGATCTGCTCCCGTAAGTCCGTCGGCAGCATCGTAAAGCGTAATTTGACTAACAAAAAGATCATTCTTTTGTATTTGGTGGGATTGCCGTGGTATTAATCACAAATAGTATATGGAAAAAGGTAAAACCCTTGACAGTAAAGGATACAACGAGATGCTAGTGCATGTTGACGCTGCTATCAAGGAAAAGAGTCGAATTGAGTTCCGGCGCAGAAAGGTAACGTTCCATCAAGATAATACCATACGTGTCTGCATTCACCGGCTGGCCATCTGTACGGACTCGAAAGGGATCTTTCACCACACCCACCATATAACCCCGACATCGCACGTTCGGACTTCTACCTTTTTTTTTTTCACACTTGCAGCTACATCTTGCTGGTCCTATCTTCACTTCTGCACAGACGTCCTACATGACACTTAGTTCTGGTCATGGGTGTTTTCTATAACTTCACTTCTCACAGAACGAGACGTCGAAATGAGGTTGACCTGTGTTTGGATTCGGGCCACCAAGTTTCCGAGCCGAAGGTTTTGAAAAACTACCAAAACATTGGCAGAAAAGCATAGATTTTTGGTAGTGATTACTACCCGCACTAAAGGTACTGACTGCTTTTTTTTTTTTTTTTTTTTCCTAACTTTATGAAGAACGTTCGTGTTTAAAATTTTCGTTACAACCATTAAATTCTGTAATTTATGAATTCCTTCCCACTTATGTATTTATCAGCTGTACTTTATGAACCTGATATTCCTACAATTATCAGCTGTACTTTATAAATCTGATATGTAGAAACGCAATTTGATTTTATGCATTTCAGTATCAAGTGAAATCTTTAAACTAATCGTTCATTATAACACTTTATGTTGTTTTCATTCAAAGCTGAACTCAGATAATGTGCCGAGGTTGAACTACCAGTAATAGGCGACTTTAGCGCTCGCCCGCTAGAATTTAGAGAGGAACTGAGTGCTAGAATTGGGTTAGGCTCTTTGAATATAGCAAAGCCACGAGGTGGCAGATAGCAGATGCCTTCGTGGAGGAAGTTTCTGAAGGCTTAGTTTAGTTTATAGCAAAGCTCCCCATACACGTTACACACGGGGAAGATTATGAAAACGCCCATGTAGCCAGCCCGTTCGCCTTGATTCGAACCCAGGTCGGAACTACCAGTGTTCAGCGATTTAACCGCTCGGGCGCGGGTGAGCCTAATTGCTGAAGGAAACTGGCTCGTATTCATGTTGCACAACAGGAAAACAAACCATGCAGCCAGCTGGTTCGCCTGGGATCGAACCGAAACCAGGTCTAACTTCCAGTAATCAATATTCTTAACCACTCAGCCACTGGCGGCGCGTGGCAGAAGTAAGAGCCACAGATATTGTAGTGAGCAGCAAAAACCTCTAATACTGGCCCTGGTTACTAGTAGGATTATATATTGGTAATCATCCAATCTACAGCAATGAAATTTCGGAGCATAATTGTGAAGTTAAATACGACACTCCGATAAACGTGATAAAGATGGAAAAATTTTTAAAAAAAGGAAACTTACTATGCAAATACATGTATTCATTAGCAAACATTTTATAAAATTTATTCTTAATTTAGCGTTTATGAATTCTCAGAGAATTATCTCATCGGATTATTTTTTTCTCCTCTGGTAATCCAATATAATTGAGTAAATTTATGTGCTGTTAATATCTTTCTTTGCCTGTTATGTACACACATTTTTTTTTTTTTTTTTTTTTTTTTTTCGTTCAAAGTTAGATAAAACTAAACGTAACGTTACACTGAAATTACTTTGTCTAGAAAGTAAGCCGCTTGGATAGAAACA